CCCGCGGGCTCAGGCCATCCACTCACCTCGGCCTCCCAAGGCGCGGGATGACAGGCTGAGCCACCGAGCCCGGCTACTAAGCCAGATTTTAACCATGCCCTCCTTCGTAGCTGTCTTTAGAAAACAATGGCCTAGATGCTGCTAGTTCAGAAACCTTGCTTATATTCTTGGCTACCTCTTATCAAAAGGGAAAGCGCCCAGATCCAGACGGGGGCGCTCTAGCTGCGGGGTAACCCTTCCGTCAACGCTCGCCACTCAGAGTATTCTGGTCGTTTCTGGGGCGCTCTAGCCGTGGGTCGGCACTCTCTGATACATCGGTAGCTTCCGGGGCGGTCGCGTCTCTCGGCGAGTCCGCTCTATCCGCCATCTCTATGCTCTCCGGGCCCCGCCCCCCCGCCGGCCGCGCTCCGTCCGGGTCTTCCCCGGGTTCCAGCATTTGTGGGGCCTGGTCATGGCTGCCTCAGGGCTTGCGCCCCGAGCTGGCGTTAGGTGAGCAGGGGTGGGGAGGGAACGGGCGCGGGACGTGGGCTGTGGGGAGAGGGCGCCCCTAGCCCCGAAGTCGTCCTGCCTCGGCGGCTTCGGAGGACGGAGGCGTCCCCGGGGCCCCGACCTTCTAGACACACAACCCGGCTGAGCCTCTCGCTCTCCACCGGCATGGAAGCAGCTCAGATGCACAGAAGTGAGTTGAGCCTTTTCAGATTTTTTCTTTTTCCCTTTTCTTTGAGACGGGGTCTCGCTCTGTCGCGCAGACTGCAGTGCGGTGGTGCGATCACTGCAGCTTCGGACTCCGGGGCTCTAGCGATCCTCCCACCTGGGGCTACAGGTGCACACCACCCTGTCTGGCTAATTAAAACCAAAATTGTTTTTTGTAGAATCAGGCTCGCTGTGTTGCCTAGGCTGGCCTGGAACTCCTGGCCTCCAGCGATCCTCTCATCTCGGCTTGTTGGGATTACAAGCGCGACCCACCACCACTGACCAGACCATCTCAGTTCTTGGCACCCGTGGCCAGTGCAGGGCTCTTTTATTTGATCGTCTTCCTTCATTCCTATTCTCCATCCCTTCTCAGACACCCACTTGGTGTGTTAAATAAGTGACTACAGCCCACCTTACATAGTGCGTGTGTCACCTTGAAAAAATATATATAGTGATTTTGAGTTCTTGTATATAATAATGTGTTGTGATTTAAGTTTTTTGTCAGCATTGTATTTTTGTGATGGTCCATGCTGGCCAGTAATGTAGTCTTCACATCTGAGTGTTGCGTGGTGAGCCCTGTGTGCACAGACCCTGCTCTTTTTTTTTTTTTTGAGTTGGAGTCTCACTCTGTCGCCCGACTGGAGTACAGTGGCACGCCCTCGGCCACCGCAGCCTTGACCTGCTGGGCTCCGGCGATTCTTCCGCCTCAGCCTTCCAAGTAGCCCGAACTACAGGCACGCACTACTACGCCCGGCTAGGTTTTGATTTATTGTAGAGACAAGGTCTCGCCAAATTTCCCCGAGTGGTTCTCAAACCCGCGGGATCAGGCAGTCCTCTCGCCTTGGCCTCTTAAAGTGCTGAGATTACAGGCTGAGCCACCGATCCCCACCAACCCTGCTCTTCTTATCAATTCCTTGGTGATGGATACTAGATGGTGTCTGATATTTTAAGCCACAAGCTTTACTCCAGTGAGTATTCCGGCAGCTGTCTCCTTGTGGGTATTGGTGCTTTTCTCCGGATTATCCACCCCAGGGTTGAGTGCTGGGTCATGTCTGATTTTGCTGGGTTGTTCTTTGGAATGGGCACACTCGTTTATACTTCCCCACAGCAGTGCATAAAGGTTCTTGTTTGCCAGTGTTCTCCAACGTCTGGTTTTTTATTTTTTATTTTTTGAGTTGGAGTCTCACTTTGTCACCCAGGCTGGAGTGCAGTGGCACGCTCACGGCCACCGCAGCCTTGATCTGCTGGGCTCAGGCAATCCTCTTGCCTCAACCTTCCAAGTAGCTGGAACTACAGGCGAGTGCCACCATGCCTGGCTAATTTTTTGACTTATTGTAGAGATGAGGTCTCACCATGATACCCAGGCTGGTCTCGAGCCTGTGGGCTCAGGCAATCTCTTGCCTCCACCTCCCAAAGTGCTGGGATTACAGGTGTGAGCCACCCCACTTAGCCCCAATGTCTGGTTTTGTTTGGTTTTGTAATGTTTATCAATCTGGGAGTAAGGTGGCATCCCATAGGTTCATCTTCATGTATTTATCAGGCATGTAAATTTCCCCTTTTTTGAGTTACCTGTGTATATTCCACTTTTTAATGGATTTTCTATCTTCCTGGCTTGCAGAAATTCTTGTGTGCTCTAGATTTTAATTCCTTGTTGGTTTTACACTCTGCAAATACCTCCTCCAACTCTTTTATCTCAACCTATGGCACTGTGTTAAACAAAAATATTTCATTCTAATTAAGTTAAATTCAGGCTAGGCGTGGTATCTCACGTCTGTAATCCCAGGACTTGGGGAGTTCGAGGCAGAAGAATTGCTTAAGCTGGGCTCAGTGGGTCAGCCTGTAATACCAGCACTTTGGGAGGCCAAAGTGGATCGCCTGAGCCCGTGGGTTTGAGACCAGCCCAGGCAACTTGGCAAGACCTCATCTCTATAATAAATTTAAAAAAAATTAGCTGGGCGTGGTAGTGTACACCTGTAGTTCCCACTACTTGGAAGGCTGAGGTGGAAGGATCGCCGGAGCCCAGCAGGTCGAGGCTGCGGTGGCTGGGAGTAGCCACTGCGCTCCAGTCTGGGCAACAGAGTGAGACTCCAACTCAAAAAAAAAAAATTAGGTATCTTCACTAAGATATGTTTCTGTATTTACTTCTATTAACTTAAGAGTGTTACCTTTTACTTTTTCAAAATTTTATGTTTTTAGAAATAAAGTCTCATTCTGTTGCCCAGGCTGGTGGTTATGAGAATTAAGTTAATTTGCTGGGGTTTTTTTTCTTTTGAGTCAGAGTCTCACTGACACTCAGGCTGCAGTGCAGTAGCATGCTTATAATCACCACAGCCTCGACCTGCTGGACTCAGGTGATCCTTCCACCTCAGCCTTCCAAGTAACTGGAACCACAGGTGCATATCATCATGCCTGGCTAATTTTTTTATTTATTGTAAAGATGAGGTCTCACCAAGTTGCCCAGGCTGGTCTCGAAATCTTGAGCTCAGGCAATTCTCTTGCCTTCACCTCTCAAAGTGCTGGGATTACAGGTGTGAGCCACTGTGCTTGGCTCTCAAGTTAATTTGTAAAGCTCTGACAAGTATTCTGTATGCACTAACTGAATCATTCACCAGCCGAAAGGATCCTATGTGGATGTCACATGTCTCCAACATCCCAAATTAGACTTTCAGTTAACAATTCTCCCAATTGTATGGGCTTGGCAGCTAACATCTATAAATCTCAACACTTTGGGAGGCTGAGGCAGGAGGATCACTTGAGGCAGGGAGTTCCAGACCAGCCTGGGCACATAGTGAGACCCTGTCTCCACAAAAATTTTTTAAACATAACTGGGCATGGTGGCGCACACTTGTAGTCTTAGCCACATGGGACACTGAAGTGGAAGGATCACTTCAGTACAGGAGTTTGAGTCTGCAGTGAGCTCTGATGGTGCCACTGCACTGCAGCCTGGATAGCAGAGCAAGACCCTGCCTCTAATAATAATAATAATAATAATATATTAAAATGATAATTTTACAGCCCTGTAATATGGTATGTCTTAAGACAGTGGTCTAATGATTTGGGTCTCATTCTCCTTCTTTATTCTTCACAGTTGCCCCAAGCTATTCATGGACTTCTACATTTCCGTATGAAGTTCCTCAGAGCAGTCCTGCTTTTGATTGGCATTACATTGAATTTATAGACTTCTTTTGTTAGAAATGAGATCTTTATAATGTTTACTTGTGCCAGCTCTGTTTAGGTCTTCTTTCATGTCCTATTACAGAGATTTTTCTTTTTCTTCCAAAATGTCTGATAGGTTCTTTTTTAAAGTTGATTCTTGGCTATTTTATGATTTTTCTGTATACTTCTTTTGTAAATGACATCTTATTTTCTCTGTATTTTATAGTTGATTATTGTATAGAAGAACTCTATTCATGTGTGTATGTTAATCTTATGTCTAGCAACATTGGTGAATTCTGTTCATTTCCAACAGTTTATCTATTGATCTGCTGTGTTTCCTGTGTAAATGGTTATATCATCTACAAATAATGACAGTTTAATCTCTTCCTTTTCAATTATTTTACCTAGTTTCTTTTTCTTGCTTTATTACTTGAGTCAGGACCTTAAAATTCTTGATGTAGTGGGCATTCTGGTCTTGTTTGTGACCATAAAGAGGATGTGGCAAAGTTTCTTCATTAACCATTTTTGTTGTTGTTGTAAGTTTTTGATAAATAATCACTTTATCAATTTAGACTGAATCAAGACTTTTCTCTCTATCCCTGGTGTATTCCCAGCCTACCGTCCTCAGCGTTCATAGGCCATTCTTTATGAATGACCTGGACCCTCTACAGGACAATGTGGACAAGCGTGATAACTGCTCTGTAAGGCCTAACTACTCTTTTGGGCTTCTCTCTGCTTTCCCGACTCCTCTTCAGGCCTAGGTTAGATCTGAAATTTCTCCATCGGTTCCTGCAGATACAGAAGGTTTTATTTCCCTCGTGGTCATCACAGAATGCTTTGATGTTCCTGACCCTTCTGTGTGTGACCCTACTGGGTGAGTGAATGAGCCCAAGCTGGAGGGAGGAGGGCAGCCCTGGTTTCCTTTGCTCTCCGGTGTTGATGAGACAGGGATTGAGGAGGGAGCCTCCCTCCTCCTATTTACACCTCTTCGCTGATTTCTTACTCCTGTCCCTCCTCCCAGAGCAACTGGTGATCTACCAGGTTGGCTTGATCCCCAGTCAGTACTACGGGGTCCTAGGAAACAAAGACTTGGATGGGTTTAAGACTCTGACGTTCCTGGCTGTCCTGCTCATTGTGCTGAACTCCACGGTAAGGTCTTTACCCTCTGCGTGTCTCTTCCTCTCTAGTCTTACGTGAGTGTAATGCTTAGTGGGACTCAGCCTCCAGGAAACAGGAAGCAAGCTGTGGGCGTGTGTTTCCTCCCTTTCCCAGGAACTAAGGGGGTGGTTGCCCTGAATGTCAGAGCCCTAGGCAGGACATTGATCTTGCTAGTGGCCCACCAGGGACCAGTTCCCTAGATTTTTCAAGCTCCTGGGGCTAGGCCACAACGTTCTGGCTTCATTCAGCATTTATTGAGAATGATGTTTATTTCTTCCATTGCCGGAACTCTTGCTTCAGGGAGCTCAGAGCCTTTTAAAACTGGGGTGAGCAGCCAGAGCTGCTGCTCGTCCTTTGGGGGCTGAGGCTCAGCCTGGCGCCTGTCATACCCACCAGCCTTTGCAGCTGCTGCTTCCTGTGGAATGGCCTCCTTCCCCTGCCCCTCACTCAGTAGGCCAAAGCCTGCTTCTGTGTCAAGATGCCTCCGCTGTCACCGCTTCCAGTCCTCCTCAGCTTTCTCCTTCATGTCTCCTCCACCAGACTGTGCCCTTGCTCTGAGTTTACCTCTGCTGTGACACCCCTCACACCTGTGTCATTGTTTCCTGGCTAACCTGTGAGCTTATTATTTCCCTAGTGCTTAGCACATGGGCACTCCGGAAATGGCAAGTGATGAGATTCAGGACTCTGCCAGAACTCAGGACTGATGCTCTCTCCAAGCCTGGGGGCAGAGAAGAGAGAACATAAATTAAATAAACACTATAGTCTCCAGTCTCTGGAAGCTCATCTGCTGCCAGAATCAGTACAGTGTAGACAGGGGCTTGAGGGCCTTTTCCCTAGTCAGCCCTCAGATATTTTGTGAAAGAATGAATGCATGAGTGAATGAAGAAGGGAAAAATCCCATGACTTGACACTTTAAACAAAAGTGCTGAGTGAACAGAGTCATCAGAGTCAGAGTGGGTGGGACTGGTCAGCTGAAACTTTCAGGAAACCATCTCTCAGGGAACCATCTCTCGCCTCCCCCTTCCCCACCGCACAGCTGAAGAGCTTTGACCAGTTCACCTGTAACCTGCTGTATGTGAACTGGAGGAAGGACCTCACCGAGCACCTCCACCACCTCTACTTCCGGGGCCGTGTGTACTACACCCTCAACGTGCTGCGGGATGACATCGATAACCCGTAGGCCTCCTGAGTCCTCACTGATCCCTGTGTGGCCCTCTCTATCTGGCTTTGCCCTGGGGAGTTCTGGTGGCAGACCCTGTGGAGATGTCTCCAGTTGCTTGCAAATTTTGCTGCCCAGAGCCATGGGGAGGGTGCTCGCAGAAGACCCCTGGAGAGGCCGCAGGGCTGACAATAGGGGGCTAAAAAAGAAGAGATCTCCCGGCCGTGTGAGATCTCTGGTGTGTCTTGGGAGGGTGGGACTTGGGAGACTGAAACAGGAGGGTTGCTGGAGCCCAGGAGTAGTGAGCTGTGATCGCACCTGTGAATAGCCACTGCATTCTAGCCTGAGCAGCACAGCAAGTCCCTGTCTCTAAGTAAAGAAAAAAGAGGCCAGAAGCAGCTCTCTTTTGTCTGTTTCATATTCTGGACTTCCATATAAGACACCCTCTGAAGAAAGTATCCTTGCTAGAAAACCAGCTCTTAACGTTTTTCAGCATAAAAAAATTACTACTGTCTGCGACCCAGTCTAGAATTTTATTTTTTGCAGTCCCAGGCTGGAAAACAGCCTATTCCCCATCATTCTATTGCCTTCTAGCTTGTAGTTCTTCTTCTTTTTCTTCTTTTTTTTTTTTTTTGAGTTGGAGTCCTAGGCTAGAGTGCAGTAGCATACTCTCAGCCACCGCAGCCACGACTTGCTGGGCTGAGGTGATCCTTCTGCCTCAGCCTTCCAAGCAGCTGGAATTATAGGCACATGCCACCACACCCAGCTAATTTTTTGATTTATTGTAGAGATGATGTCTCACCAAATTGCCCAGGCTGGTCTTGAACCCCTAGGCTCAGGCAATCCTCTCACCTCTGCCTCCCAAAGTGCTAGGATTATAGGCGTGAGCCCCCACGCCGGGCCTTAGCTTATAGTTCTTAAATTTACTAAGCCTCCTTCTGTAAAACAAAGATAACAGTTCCTGTCTTACAGCGTGTAGTGAGGAGAAGATGATGTCACCACATAATGCACATCTACAATGCCTGACACGTAGCAAGCGTTATTTTACAAGTGAGGAAACTGAGGCCCAGCGATTGCAGGTGACTTGCCCGAGGTCACGTTTGTCGTGCGTGTAGTCAGTATGTCCCTAGTGGGACGCAGGGGCTCTCCTTCACACTCATCCCTCCACCCACCACCTTACCAGCAGGCGCCATGTTCTGGAGGTGACCTTCCCTCAGCTCAAGCTAGTTTTGTTACAGAGATTCTTTTTTTTTGAGTTGGAGTCTCACTCTGTCACCCAGACTGGAGTGCAGTGGCCGCTCCCGGCCACCGCAGCCTCGACCTGCTGGGCTCCGGCGATCCTTCCGCCTCAGCCTTCCAAGTAGCCGGAACTACAGGCGCTCGCTACCACACCCGCCTGATTTTTGATTTATTGTAGAGATGAGGTCTCGCCAAGTTGCCCTGGCGGGTCTCGAATCTGTGGGCTCAGGCAGTTCACTCACCTCAGCCTCCCAAAGGCGCGGGATTACAGACTGAGCCACCGAGCCTGGCTTGTTACAGAGATTCTTGACTGGCTGTTGTATCTTACTTAACATCCAGGCCTCCTCATGGCTGTGGCTTCCATGCAAGCCTTTCACAGCCAGATGGCTAAAATAGGGCTAGACTCAGGCTCATACAAGAGAAACTAGGGAGGATTGAGATAAAGGGGACAGTTTTTCTGATCATCCAAAAAAACAGTTCATCTGCCCTTGGGTTTTTCTTTGGCTCTGCTCAGAGCTGGCTCAGGCCCCTGGACACTGGGCCTTTCAGTCCCCACCTTTTTTTCATTTTGAGTCAGAGTCTCACTCTCTTGGCCAGGCTGGAATGTAGTGACACTCTCATAGACACTGCAGGGTCAGCCTTCCGAGAAGATGGGACTACAGGTGCATACCACCATGACTGGCTAATTTTTTCACTTATTGTAGAGATGAGGTCTTGCCAAGTTGCCCAGGCTGGTCTCAAACCCCTGGACTCAGGCAGTCTTCTTGCCTCCACCTTCCAAAGTGTTGGGGTTACAGCTGTGAGCCACCACACCCGGCCCCACATTTTCTGAGGCATCATAAGATATAACTCTCCAGATCCCTGTTTAAAGGCCCTCAAAGTTTAGCGTCCTCCAGGAAGCCAGCTCTGTCTGGATTCATCTTTCCGTGGGGTCGTGGCTGACAACACTGCAAGATCCCTGCGTCCAGCTATTCTGTTGTTGGCTCCAGGGACCAGCGCATCAGCCAGGACGTGGAGCGCTTCTGCCGGCAGCTCAGCAACATGGCCAGTCAGCTGATCATCTCTCCCTTCACCCTTATCTACTACACCTATCAGTGCTTCCAAAGGTGCAGCCCCACCTCCTCTCAGGGGCCCTCCTCCGTCTCAGTCTGGCATTTCCCCAGGGGCCCATGATCAGGGCAGGCTCCAGCCTGTCTTCCTAGCTCCCTTGCTCAGTCCCTGCCCGCCCTTTGGCCGTGTGGTGTTGTGGTGTCACAGGCATCCTGAGGCTGTGCCAGCCCACACCGGGCCTCAGGTGCCCCCTCCCCCATAGGAGTAGAGGGCCCGTGGGACCGCTAAGACGGGGTGGGGGCAGGAGCCAGGGCAGCGGGTGTGGGTGAGGGCACCCACACACCCCTACCCCTGCTTCCAGCACAGGCTGGCTCGGGCCCGTCAGCATCTTCGGGTACTTCGTCCTGGGAACCCTGGTGAACAAGGCTCTGATGGGGCCCATCGTGGCGACGCTGGTGCAGCAGGAGAAGCTAGAGGGGGATTTTAGGTGTGTCTCCCTGGCTTGGGGTTTCTGGACTGGACCTAGCAGTTAAGGAATGGGATCTGGAGCCAGCCTGCATCCTGCATTCAAATCACAGCTGTGCCTGTCTTGGGCAAGATTTTTTTTTTTTGAGTTGGAGTCTCACTCTGTCACCCAGACTGAGTGCAGTGGCCACTCCCGGCCACTGCAGCCTTGACCTGCTGGGCTCCGGCGATCCTTCCGCCTCAGCCTTCCAAGTGGCTGGAACTACAGGCGCGCGCTACCACGCCCGGCTGATTTTTTATTTATTGTAGAGATGAGGTCTTGCCAAGTTGCCTAGGCGGGTCTCGACAATCCACTCACCTCGGCCTCCGAAGCACTGGGATTACAGGCTGAGCCACCAAGCCCGGCCTTGGGCGAGATTTTAACCTGTGTCAGTTTTCCTATTTCTGAAGCAGGACTGGTACTGTTGCCTACCGAGAGAATTAGACGATGAGATCCTCTGTGAGGGGCTACGAACAGTGCCTGGCTGGCTATCACCACCACCATCATCATTATCCTGGGCCTTCTCCTGTGCTCCGGGATAGCTACCGGGTGACAGCTGATGAATCAGCCCCTACTCTGTGCTCCTTGCCCTCCCGCCCTCGGAAGGGCGGGTGTTGAGGGCTGGGTCCCCCCACACACAGCCCACACAGAAAGCTGAGGGATAGCCCTGTCTGCAGAACTCCTGCCGCCCACCCAAGCCCTGAGATCCCCACCCCAGAGCAGTCCAGAAAGGGTCTGGCCAAGGCAGCCACAGCTTTGAGGTGGGGCTGGGCTCTGCTCTGGGCTCTTCCTGATCCTGGACACCTGGTGTCAGCACACGATTCCCTTTGGTCTCCAGGTTCAAGCACGTGCAGATCCGGGTGAACGCTGAGCCTGCAGCTTTCTACAGGTGGGTCTGGAGGACAGAGTCCTTCTGCCTGCCAGCACTGGCAGGCAGAAGGAAAGATGAGTCTGCGGCCCTCCCCCACCACCCAGCTCAGGGCCCAGTGTTGTGTGGTCACCCTGGGCTGTGATGTGTTCCCTGGACTTTGCACTGCCCTTGTCTTCCTCCTTCGCTCCAGGGTTTTGCTTCTGAGGCCAGTGGTTCCTGGCAGTGACCAGCACTAGTCCTAATGGCCTAGCTGGGGCCTGAAATTGTTAAAGAACAAATGCTGCCCAGGTGGAGCCAAGCGCCTGGACCCCTGAGATCACACTGTGAAATTCTATCCTTTCCCTCCAGCAGAGCAGACCCCTGTGCTCTGCCTTGTGTGAGGCCTCTGAAATCAGTGTTAGACTGGTAGTGCAGGCCCCAGAGGTTCCTGTTTACGGAGTGGGAGCTGCACCTTGTGTCTCCTGTACTTGGTGGATCTGATAGCCCTGGAACCTTTGCTTTTCTGTCAGTCTCTGCTGCAGTTTGCAACCTTCACCACCTGGGGGCATCAAGAATACCAGGAATTTGGGTTGTGGGGTCATGTTGTGGGTACATAGGGCTGGGTGTGGTCAGGTTGCTTTGGGATTCTGCAGCCTCTGCCCATGAAGCCTGGGAAGGCAGGTCAGTTCTTGGAGCTCCAAATGGGTTCTTCTCTGGTCACTCTCTGTGCAAAATCTAAAATGCTCCACTCTCCTCCCTTCACCTTTTCTGCCTGTAGGATTTCTACCCATCCATGAGACCCCAGGTCACCTCCTCTGGGAGCTTTCCCAGACTCCTGATTGTAGCCAAAGCCCTGAGAACACACGTAACACTTCCCATGACCCGTGAAGAATGCAGTAGGACTGCCTGCCTCCCCACTGGGAGCTCCCCAAGGGCAGGGCTTATATCTGCCTCTTTGTTGCACTAGCCAGTTAGCACAGAGTTGGGCAGACAGTGACTGTTTCGTATACATTTGTTTAAAAGTAGCAGCTTTCATGTGTCTGGCACTTCAAATTCAGAAACTCTTAATTCTCTAACCGATGACATAGGTATTAGTGCTCCATTTTACAGACTGGAAAAACAGACTCAGAGACTTAAGTAGTGCCTGTGTCACTCGGGTCTGCCCAGCTCGAGTTCATACTCTTTGTTTCCACAGATGATGCCATAAGGAATGGCTGAAGCAATGAGTGGTAGTAGTAGCAGACAGGGTCCAAGGCCAAGGTCATTTGGATGGGCTTGGTCCCTTCAGGGGCATGTTGAGGTGCAGGGGTCCCCTGGTCTGACTGAACCTCTGCAGACCCTATAGACGCTCAGCCTTTCTCATCAGAGCTGGGCATGTGGAGCATATGCGAACAGACCGCAGACTGCAAAGACTCCTCCAGACCCAGAGGGAGCTGATGTCCAAGGAGCTCTGGCTGTACAGTAAGCGAGGGGCCCGGGGTGGCGCTCAGGGTGGGAACAGCCCCTTAACCTCCCACATTGTGCTGCTCCTGTCTTCGCTGACAGATCTGTTCTGATGAAGGAATCTCTCAGGGGAGGGGGTCGCTGTCTTTGCCATGAGTGCTCTCAGGAGGATGAGGATCCAGGAAACATGTTACCCTGCATGGCTCCCTGCTTCCTGCCTTGGGGCTGCGTCCCTGCAGAGCATACCTGTGGGTCCATTCCCTCATGAGGTCTGTCTTCTGCAGTCGGTATCAACACCTTCGACTATCTGGGCAGCATCTTGAGCTATGTTGTCATCGCAATCCCCATCTTCAGTGGGGTCTATGGAGACCTGGGTCCTGCAGAGCTCAGCACCCTGGTCAGCAAGGTGAGAATTCTTCCTGGTGACCCCTCAGACCGTCCCCGCCATCCTCTGGCCTGGCGCCAGGGCCTGGGAGGCGAACTCGCCTGGTTGCTCACTTCCTGTTCAGAATGCCTTCGTGTGCATCTACCTCATCAACTGCTTCACCCGTCTCATCGACCTCTCTACCACACTCTCGGATGTGGCTGGCTATGCACACAGGTGAGGCCATGGCCCACCCCTCTGGCTTTTTTTTTTTTTTGAGTTGGAGTCTCACTCGGTCACCCAGACTGGAGTGCAGTGGCCGCTCCCGGCCACCGCAGCCTCGACCTGCTGGGTTCTGGCGATCCTTCCACCTCAGCCTTCTGAGTAGCCGGAATTACGGGCATACGCTACCACGCCCGGCTGATTTTTCAATTTATTGTAGAGACAAGGTCTTGCTGCCCAGGCAGGTCTCAAACCCACGGGCTCAGGCAATCCGCTCACCTAAGCCTCCCAAAGGCGCGGGATTACAGGCTGAGCCACGAGCCTGGCTCCCTCTGGCTTTTGAGCAAAGCATGTGCTGCTGGAAGAAGTGACTGAGTGAAAAAAGGAACCAGAGACTTACCACTTATTAGTAGGCATGAGGTAGAAAAGGGAGCTTCACCTTCACCTGGGCCCCAGACCCTGCTCAGATATCCACTTCTTGCTCAGGATTGGGGAGCTTCGGGAGACCCTGCTGGACATGTCCCTGAAGTCACAGGACTGCGAGATCCTGGGCGAGAGCGAGTGGGTTTTGGACGGGTGAGTAGGTGGCTGGCAGGTAGTATGGTGACTGGGGATGCAGGCTGCAGGCTCTGGACTTGGGGGTGGTGCAGAGGGCTTGGGGCCTCCCTTGAGGCCTGCCCTCCCAGCAGCCAGCTGAGTTATGAGGAGTAAATGGAGCCATGTGCCCCCTTGCTAGACACATGCAAGTGCTCATGGTCAGTGTTGTCTTGGCGTCCCTTGTGTTGGTCTACATCATTCCACAGCTGATGAGAGCAAAGACACACATTCTGCCTGGGCCCAAGCCAACAAAACAACAATCTGAAGAGCCTCCCTCCTCCCCCTTTTCTTCTCCCAACTTCCTGCCCTGCATTGGCCATGACCATCTTTGTTCCCCTGCCTCACTCAGCCCCAGGGATGTCCTTATTCCTGTATCTCTGAAGATCTGTAATATTTCTGATCTTCCTATACATTCAGGATTTGTTTCTTCTCCTTGCTTTCTTTGGGCAGACTATTTAATTGTTCTGTGTCTCAGTTTCTTCATCTCTAAGGAGGAGGTATCAGTGATGCCTTCCTCCTAGGGCTGTTGTGAGTATTTGATGTCTTAGTCCACAGCAAGTGTCCATGGGCAATGGCCACAGAGTAAGCTTTCAGAAATGGAATCAGTCTGAATTCCAGGGCCTCCACTCAACTCTCTCTTAGGAATGAATGCTTTAACTGTTGCCCCAGTACCAAAAACAAAGTTTTTTTGTTTTGTTTTGTTTTGTTTTTATCAGAGTCTCACTCTGTTGCCCAGGCTGAAGTGCAGTGGCATGCCTCCAGCCACTGTAGCCTTGACCTACTAGATTCAGGCGATCCTTCCACCTCAGCCTTCCAAGTAGGTGGAACCACAGGCGTATGCCACCATGCCCAGCTAATTTTTTTATTCATTGTAAAGTTGAGGTCTCACCAAGTTGTCCAGGCGTCTTGAACCTGTGGGCTCAGGCAGACCTCTCGCCTTGGCCTTCCAAAGTACTAGGATTATATATATATATATATATATATATATATATATATATATATATATATATATATA